GCATACTTAATATGATTTTTAATCTTATTAACTTTTTAGGTTGTGTTTTATGGCCCTCACTATGATCTGTCTTGTAAATGTTCCATGTGAGCTTCAGATGAATGTGTACTTTGCTCATTAGTGTGTTTCCCACTGGGAAAAAAGTGTGTAAGAGTATCTTCTACCATAGTCTCACCAACATGGATGGTATCAGAATTTTTATCCTTGCCAATCTGATAAAAAGAGAAGAATATTGTACTATAATTTTAGTTTGTACTTCTTTTATCATGAATGTGGTTGTGTATCTTTTCATATGTTTAAGAGGTATTTGATTTCCTTTTTGTCTATTTCTTGTTTGCATTATTTGCCTATTTCTCTTAATGTGTTGATCTTTTTCTTACTGGTTTGTAGAAGTCCTTTATGTAGGGGCACTTGGGTGGCTCAGTTGGCTAAGCATCTGACTTTAGGTCAGATCATGATCTCCGGATCCTGGGGTGGAGCCCTGCGTCAGACTCCCTGCTCACCTGGGATTGTGCTTGTCCCTCTGCTCTTCTCCTACTAGTGCTCTCTTTCTCCCTACATTTCTCTCTCTCATAAGTAAAAGAAGTCCTTTATGTATAAAGAAATTAGCCTTTTATCTGTAATATGATTTGTATTTTAACCCTAGTTTGTCATTTATATTTTGACTTTGCTGATTTTTGATAAGAAATTTTAAATTTTGTGTCATTAATTTTATTGGGCCTTATAGCTTTCAGATTTTGCAACATTAGAAAGGTCTTTTCTACTCAGAAATCATAAAAAGTATTCCTTTATTTTTTCTAAATACTGTTACAGATAAGCTTAAAGGAAAAAATATCTTTTTCTTTTTTTTAAAGATTTTATTTATTCATGAGAGACACACAGAGAGAGGCAGAGACATAGACAGAGGGAGAAGCAGGCTCCTCAACAGGAGCCCGATGCAGAACTTGATCCCCAGACCCAGGATCACACCCTGAGCAGAAGGCAGATGCTCAACCACTAAGCCACCCAGGAGCCCCAGGTCTTTCTCTTTTTAAAAAGTGTAACAGATTCCCATTTCTAGTTTTTGGCATCTCTGTGGTTCTTTGATTTCTACAGATATTTCTAAGAGTGGCTCAGCAATGTTATTTAGAAGCTCCCTGAGTACTTTGATATATAATTAATCTAAGAATTTGAACTTCTTTTGTTAACTAGATTTCTGACAAGTTCTTTACTCATTAGAGAATTCAATTTTAATTTATACTTATTTCATCCATTTTTTTGTTCAGAACAAATCTCATTCTTTTTGAAATGTATGGAGAAGCAAAATAAAAATTGACTTTTCTCTCTCATTTCTACTTTCTGCTCAAAATCTTATTTATTTTTTGACTCTTTGTGGGCTTTTCTTGATCTTTCTCATCCTCGAGTTTCTATAATAGAAGAGAATGACTCTAACCTCAGCAAAACATTTGTCACTTACTTAGCTTTTTCAAGAAATATTTAATGAGCAACTACCATATACTTAGCCATGTTCAAACATAGAAACAGAATTTATGATATTTTGGTCCTTTTAAGGGAAAAAGGCAAGGTTAGTACACATAGTGATAATAGTATTAGATATAATAGATAGTATTTGTCACTTTATAGCCCACAATTTCTGTTATTTATTTTTTTTTGCAAGCATGGTTGGACTATGCCTAAAAGAAATACCTAGAAGTCCTGAAGGAAGTTCTTATTCTCTGCAGTTCATTTTTCTAAGGTGCAGTAGTAAATAGGATTCTCAGAACTGGACATACAAGAAGGCTAGGCTACATCATATTTGTATCAGCTCCCAGTGTCCCAAGTTGTGGCAGGTGGAATATATTTTTATTAAGTTATGCTAGCTTTTTTGTTTTGTTTTTTTGAAGTTATGCTAGCTTTCTAATAATGTCTTTTCTAAAGGGAAGCAAGACCCATTTTATTCAAATAGCTTATAATTTATCTGTCCTGGTCAATTTTCAGTGTTTTCTTTCTTTCTTTCTTTCTTTCTTTCTTTCTTTCTTTCTTTCTTTCTTTCTTTCTTTCTTTCTTTCTTTCTTTCTTTCTTTCTTTCTTTCTTTCTTTCTTTTTTTTTTGTCAGATCAGTTAAATTCAAGTTGATGCTTGCCTCTTCAAAGCTACTAAATAAATGCTGGCTTTAAAGTGAATAGAAGTCCTAACTTTTTTCACAGGATCTTACACCTTAAAAATATGGACCTGCATTTGCTTTCTTGGAAAAATAAATTTGATCTTGATAGAACCCAATTATATTTCAGAAATTGGCTTTCTGTGTTAATATAATTACAGTGACAGTTTCACTAAAAAGCCTTTTTTCCTTTTTCTGAGAATTTCTTGTGTGGATTTTTTTTTTCTACTGTTGCACTAGTCTGTGCAGTCAATGTGAAGAAACCTTTGTGTATGTTTGTTTTTAGAACATAATTTTGCCTTGCTACTACTTCTTTCATATATTTCCATGTGTCCTCACCCAGTTTGAGAGCAATAAGATAGATGAACATAGAAACTAAAGGAGCTATATTAGAGTTCTCATCAGTGATCATTTCTGTTTCTTTATTACTTGTCCCAGTGTCTTGAATTGAATGGGTATATTATGTGATCATAGGATGTTACAGAAAATATATTGACATAGTACCTGAAAATTGTAAACCAAACATTTGTGTTTTCTAGAGAAACAGGTAGTGTTTATAGCTCTTACTTGGAGCAAAGAGGTTGCAGGTTGAAGGGATGGGTGGTATTCTGACCACAGGAGTATAAAATAACTGTGGGGATAGATGTAGTAGAACAGAATTAATAACACATCTGGACTAGAGTAGCATGCTAAGAAACTGCAACTCAACTCGCAGTCAATGAGAACATATCTGACACAGTTAAATGAGTTAGAATAATGCATTATGTAGTAGATGGAATAATTAACCACAGTATGATGTTTCAGTGGCTGCATAGTGATGAAGTCAAATAAAAAGCTTTAGTAGGTAAGCATTCAAGCCTTGGTATTAGACTATCTGATTCTGCCACTTATCAGTATTATAGATTCAAGCAAATCACTTTTATTTTGCATTAGCATCTATGTCTATATGGTAAAGATAACAACAACACACCTACCTTTGCTAAATACACACTCACACTACACTGAGAATATAGTTCCTGACACATACACACACACACACACAAAAAAAAAAAAAAAAAAAAAACCCTTAATAAATGTTAAGCTTCTTTCCTTCCTTTCTTTCCTTAAACTTTCATATACTACTATAAGAGTAAAGGAGTATTGCAAGGTTACCAATGCTTAATTAAATTCTTGTTAACAGCGAATATTTTTATTAAAGCAATAAACAATTCTAGTTTGTTTTATAAGTGTTAATAGCTAGTTATGTCCATTATTTTAGGTTTTCTTACCCATGGTGATATATGTTGAGTTTCCCATTCATCCTATCCTTAATAGGCTTATATTGAACTTTCAGAAAATTACAGATTTACCCATTTTATTCTTTGTGGTGTTTTCTAATCTTAATTTTTTTCTTACCTAATTTTTTTTTCTTATCTAAATGTAATAGAAACTCTTTCCTCTAAAATACATTTGGTCTTTTGACATTTTTCTTTGTTTAATAACAGTTAAAATTTCTTCTGTCATTTCTTATGACTTAAAATTTTTTCTCCTGAGGTGTTTTTTTAAAAATGTTGCTTATGGGGATCCCTGGGTGGTGCAGCGGTTTGGTGCCTGCCTTTGGCCCAGGGCGCGATCCTGGAGACCCGGGATCGAATCCCACATCGGGCTTCCGGTGCATGGAGCCTGCTTCTCCCTCTGCCTGTGTCTCTGCCTCTCTCTCTCTCTCTCTCTCTCTGTGACTATCATAAAAAAAAAAAATGTTGCTTATGTATGTAGCCCCTTCCTCCAGTTAAATATTTATTTCATTCGTGTGAATCACCTCAAAAAAATACATTTAAATGAAAAATCTCATTTTTAAAATCAGACCCTATATTTTGTCTTTGAAGGATCCATTCATAATGGCTGAAGTATTATAGGTACAGATAAAGTTTAATTGATACTGTTACCACTTGAAACTTGGATTTTTCCTGAGTGCTTACTGAAATCGATCTTAAGATATTAAATACAAGATTTGTCATCTTACATGGTTTCATTTATACATTAAATCTTAACAGTTATGCTTTGCCTGCCTTCAAAATCAGACGCAACCATTTATCAGAAAAAACATCACTTAAAAAGAGGGAGACTACTTAGTGTTCAGTTTCAGTTTGAATTTAAAACTCTGTTTTACTCCCACTATTAAAGGCTAATTAGGGTTACTTGTTTCCTGTGACAGTGTGATTCATGGTCCATTTGCCATGGAAAAGATTGTGAGGGTTTTTTTTTTTTTTTTTTTTAAGTGGCTTAAGATAAAGAGACATGATTTCCTAATGAAAACAGTCTTTCAAGGTCCAGTTCAAGAACTGACTTCCCTGAATTGACTTATTTATTTTGCTGATATCAAAATTGGAAAATGGTAGCTTCAGGATTCTGGTACCCCCAAAATGATTTTTATTATTTTTTAATGGCAGTCCATATAATGATTACATTCCTATTTTTTTATTTTTATTATGCATAATCACTTATTTTCATGAAGCATAAGCAGTGTCCTCTAGAGTTTGAGCCTAGACTAGAAAGCCATTAGGAAATTCTATTGGGTAGGAAATGTGTTTTTTCAATTATCTTCTGGCTTACTAGTTTTTTTTCATCATTTAGTTATTAAAGCAAGTTTTCCATTACTTTTAGAATAGGAATAAAAGCCAAGATTTATTATATTGCTTGATAACATTTACTATAAAATGTATGTTGCCTCTGACTAGAATATTAAATTTGGTTTAAATGAATCAAACCTTTAGGTAGTATCTTTTAGAGTGTTTTTTATGAAAAAGAAATCAAGAAGAAAATCATGGTCTGGAGCAAAACAATATGTGTTATGACTTCAATTATACTGTTATCTTTTCAGGCTCATGAGAGGCTAGAAGATTCAAAACTAGAAGCTGTCAGTGATAATAACTTAGAATTAGTCAATGAAATTCTTGAAGATATCACTCCTTTAATAAATGTGGATGAAAATGTGGCAGAACTGGTTGGCATACTCAAAGAGCCTCACTTCCAGGTAAATTTTGCTATTACTCTTATTCCCAAGTCCCCTGTATTCTTTTAGTAGATGGGTTCCAGCTTAAGGTGATTTATTTAAGATTATTTAGAGCCAAATTTTATAAATATGTAAATTCCAACAGATATTTTAATGACCTGAGGATATAAAAACAGACACAGAGCTAATATACACTACATAAATGTATAGCAGAAATACATTAGAATGGATTTTCCATTGTGTAATTAAAACCAGCCTTGATGCAGCAACAGACCACATACTAGAGACCTTTTTCTTATAGTGATAATGGATTTTCCTTCCTCACCACCACTGTTTCGCAGCCTTTCTTATTAGAGTTATTTCAGTATTGCTTCTGAGACTGAGATGCAATCAGTGACCTTGGAACAAAAGAGAACTGTGTAAGGATAGAACTAATCCATAACACATTCTCCATAGGTGCTAAAAAAAATACGTGCAATTTAAGCATTGGTCTGTAGCAGTGAAGAGTAAATCTGTTTAACAAAGAAGAGTCAGTTTCAGAAGAGAAAGTGGAGGGGAGGGAGGAGAGATTTCTTATAAATGTATAATTAAGTGTGGTATTGGGACAGTATTAGAAAATAGACCAATGGAAGAGAAAAAAAAAACCAGAAATATATCCACATGTATACCACAACTTGATTTATGACAGAGATACTGCATTTTAAGGGAGAAGGAATAGACTGTTCCATAAGTAGTGCTGGGATAAAAGAATAAAGTGTCATCTGCTTTCCATTGCAAATCTTAGCTTTGAAAATCAAATGGCAACACCCCCTTTGCTTTTTCTCAAGGGCTTTCTATGACTCTTCAGCAATGTGGCTGCAAAATACAAAAGTTTATAGTGAGTTGGTTGCTCTGTAAATCAGTATCTCAAAGTACAAAAAAATGGACACATTTCAGAGACATCCTATATGCTTGTGCCAGTTGATGAAGGTCTTATAAGGCACAGAAAGCTATTTGGACTTTATTCTGAGGACAGTGAGAGTAGGAGGGGAGAACCATAAGAGGGGAGAGAGTAGGAGATATTAAGGAGAAGGCAGAAAGATAGTTGAGGAATAAGGCAAGAAACTGATGGCAGTATCAAGAGTGGAAAATGTGGGAATTTTTAGGTTTTAAGCCATAAAATCAACAGGACTTGGTGATTGATTACATGTGATAGTTACAGAAGAGAGATGTGGGAAGTTGATAAGGATAGTATTTCTGACAAATAATTGATGGCACTTGCTGAGATAAGGAACATTCTACAAGAAACTGACATGTTAAAGTAACTGGCAATGTTGTTTGTGATACCTCGGAAGCATATGGTAGAGCTTTCATGCATGCTACATATCTTTAATAAATATATAAAATTTAATAAGTTTATCAATTTATATAAAGTTTAATAAATATAATTAGAAAATACAGGCAAGCAAAAATTTAAAAATTAAGACATTGCATTCTTTATAAGTTCTTTTTTTTTTTTTTAAGATTTTTAATTTATTTATTCATGAGAGAGAGAGAGAGAGAGAGAGAGAGAGAGAGAGAGAGAGGCAGAGACACAGGCAAAGGGAGAAGCAGGCTCCATGCAGGGAGCCCGATGTGGGACTCAATCCTGGGTCTCCAGGATCATGCCCTGGGCCGAAGGCAGGCACTACCACTGAGCCACCAGGGCTGCCCAAGACATTGCATTCTTATTACCCATATCAGTACTGTACTATTCTAGTGCATATTCCTCTATGCTTTTTCTGTGCATAAATGTGCATATTTTTTTCATTACTGATTGAGATCCTCTTATACAAGTTATTTTGTAACTTGCCCCTTTTTTTTCAGTCATTGATTTCCACTTTTTCATTTCAGTGGATCTCCATATCATGTAATACACATTATATTCAAACATCTCCATTTGACACCAAAATACTCTGTATAGTTTTGTACTTAAGGGTTTCCAACTTAGATCCCTGTCTTTTCTCCCTTAATTATAATGTTGACCTATAAAAAATGACTGCCCTGCAGAACCTCCCACTCCCTGAATGAATCTGGTTGTCTCTTTACTGTGTTGTTTAGTTATCCCTTCTATTTCCTGTAAACAGAAGTTCTTTCTAAAAAGTTGATGATTCAGGGTCCCTGGGTGGCTCAGTTTGTTAAGCATCTGCCGTCAGCACAGGTCATGATCCAGTGTCATGGGATCAAGCCCCACATTGGGTTCCCTGCTCAGTAGAGTCAGTCTGCTTCTCCTCCATTCATCTCTCCTCTCACTCATACTTTCTCTCTTTCCCTCTCTCAAATAAATAAAATCTTGAAAAAGGAAAAGGTTGGTGATTCAAGTTAATTATTTGAAACTGGAATGCATCAATAGTGATGTAATACAACATGAATTAAACTACATCAGAAGATGTGTGACACCTGGTTAACCCACATTACTGATGCTGAGATTGGTGTCTTAATTAAGGGCAAAGACAGTCTAATCCTTCCTTTGAAATACTTTTCACTAGAGCATAATCTACTGTATTATTATCCTAGCATTACACAAAGTTATTTCCTGTTTAGCCATTTATCTACTTATGAACACAAATTAATCTTTGCCTGAATTAATATTTTCATTAGAGGCATTTTTCAGATTCAAAATGACATTTTTCAGATTCTCTCTTTCTATATTTTGTAGCTGCTGTTCTTATATAAAGTAGAGCTTCTCTTCATCAATTGAGCTATTTTGCCAACCCATGATGCAGTTCATACTGAAAAGTCAGGGAAATGCCTGATCCTTCCCTTTACCAGTTTTCAAAGTATTGTTTTAAAATAGCACTCTTGAATGGTAACAGATGAGTTTTTCAGTCCTTCTGTTTTTTAAATAGCATTTTGCAGTTATTTTTCGTAAATTCAGTATGTTTCGATCTTTACTATCCTTACTCTTTGATTTTCAAGTTATCATGACTGGCTAGTTGTAGACAGATTTTTAGTCTGAATCTGAAGCTCATGAGAGTTTTAGATGTTATCAGTGTTGAAGTAGTGGTTCAAGTCACAGAGTAGATAATATTGCCTAAGAAGGCATAGGATGAAAACTAAGCAGCCCAGGTTAGAGATTTGAGCAATTTCTAGCATTTATGGAAATAATCTTTAAAAAATCCTTGTGATTTTTTTTTGAAATTTTCTTTAGTCTCTTAAAATATATTTTCATGAAATGACTAGAAATTATCAATTCATATCCTGATTGCTTCTGTTCTGAATTTGCTGGTATTTATTTTCTCCCTTCTTTTTATTTTGATTTGTTTTTGAGCTTGGGTTCCATCTACTCAAAAAATTTAACTCTGCTTTATATTGAGTATACACAATTATAGTATAAACAAAAAAACTAAAATATATTAAAAAATTGTAAGAAATTCCTAGGAAGCTAGATCAAAGTCATTCATGATAGCATATACATAGTAAATGTAGGAGGTAAAATTATATTCAGGACCATTTATAGCTCATTAATGTTTTTCCCTTAAAATATATGTTCTATAGACTAAAGCCTTTATCAGTAATGTAAAATCTTTCATCACTGATATAAGATGCTGATACTTATCCATTTTCTATTGGTTATCTATTTATTAGACATTTTATATGTGTAAAAAATACATGGTATTGCTAACAACAATTTTACAGTAAAAATTAGGGTCTGTACCATTTGAATTTTTTTAAAGATTTTATTTATTTTATTTGAGAGAGAGGACAGAGGGAGCAGCAGAGGGAAAGGGAGAAATAGGGTGCCTCAGTCTCAGGACCCTGAGGTCATGCCTGAGTTGAAGGCAGATGGTTAACTAACTGAGCCACCCAGGAGCCCCTGTACCATTTGAATTTGTATGATACCTAATAAATAGGGCTTGATGATAAATATTGAATGATGATAATGTTGATGACAATGTCAGCAGTGAATTCCAGTGCCTTGAGTGCACCACACTTGGAAATCTAGGTTCAGTTTCCACTGAACATGTCACTTGTTTTAAAAAGTCACAAAACTCATATCAGTCTCTTCAAATCCTTTAAAACAAAGAATACAATATTGTTTATGTTGATGAAACTGTATATATTCATATTTAAAAGGTTCTGTTGCATTTGATTTAACTCCTATTTTAGAATTTAATGTGTGCTTTGGAAGGTTTTAGTACTCTAGTAGGATAATGAACTGTTACTTTTAATAACTTTTTCCATCAGTAATTAATAACCACAGGCTGTTCTGAATCCTTATAGTCACTCTTGGAGGCCCATGATATTGTGGCATCAAAATGTTACGATTCACCTCCATCAAGCCCAGAAATGAATAATTCTTCTATCAATAATCAGTTATTACCAGTAGATGCCATTCGTATTCTTGGTATTCACAAAAGAGCTGGGGAGCCATTGGTGAGTAGATAAATCTGTGCCTTTTAAAATCTGAAATCTGACTTTTTTGCCTCAATTACTACCCCCCCTTTTTTTCAAAATTTGTATTATTATTATGAAAACATCAATTCATGTATATTTGTTTTACCAGTGTTTTTTGGCTTGTATATAAATACACAACTGATCTCTCTTAAGATAGCATATAAAACTAAACCAAAATAAAAAGTTAAATTGAAATAGAGGCCAGAAGTTTGCTGATGGGCAGCAGAAACTACAAGAGATAATTATTCCATTTCTTTCTATATCCTTTGAAGAAATGAACTCAAGTTGCTTGCTAATGATAGTATCAAAACACAGAAGAAAGTTATTAAAAATTGAAGGCATGGGTAGGACTCAATAAGTAGTGAAATTTACTATTCCCTGCTAAAATTATATTTCTGAGTCCTGACTATAAGAAAAAAGGAGATGCTTGAAACAAGGCCATCAATGCTTAGATACTTACTCTTCTCCTTTGAACTTTTTATCCTGTGGAATATAATTTCCATGGGGTGGTATATGTCATTTCAGTTGCCTGTGGTTTAATGAAATTAAAATATTGAGACAGGAGAGAACAGGGGGAAAGTAGGAACAATTTACTTACCTACTTTTAGAATTTTCCTATTCATGAATATTTAAGGTTTCTTCCTAATAATCTAAAACCAGTGATAATTCTGGGTTTTTCTTTCCTTTAGGGTGTAACATTTAGGGTCGAAAATAATGATCTGGTAATTGCCCGAATCCTTCACGGAGGAATGATAGATCGACAAGGTCTGCTTCATGTGGGAGATATCATTAAAGAAGTCAATGGTCATGAGGTTGGAAACAATCCAAAGGAATTACAAGAATTACTGAAAAATATTAGTGGAAGTGTCACCCTAAAAATTTTACCAAGCTATAGAGATACCATAACCCCTCAACAGGTCAGTAATAAAATTCTTGGTAATATTAAGAATATTTTCATTTCTTTAATCACTCTGTTGGATATAACCACCACTTGCTACTCTTTTGCTAAAGAAAAGAGAAAAAAAACTATGATTTAAGTGTTCTGAATTGCCTTATTTTGTCATGGGTGAATTTTTGAATTTTTAAATGATGAGCACTCTCTTATAAAGAAAGGAATAACCAAATGTCTTTGTGAACACTATGAACCCTAGCATTGCAGTAACCTATGGCTAGATATCTGAAGAGTCATAGGGTCTTTTAGTCATTAATCTAGCAAACATTTTTGGAACCTCTTATGTTTTAGACATTGTATTAGGTCCTATGAGAGAATAAGAATATAGCTCCAGTTACCTCTTGCTTAGTGTTCATGTGATGGCTGAATGGAGAATGAGGCCAGAAAGGGAGGATGGGTATATAGATTGAGAAAAATCTTGAATACCTGAATTGTACACATTTGATCTGATTTTTATAACTAATTTTTAGGTAAAGTAGATTATTGAACAGGGGAATGTTGTAATGACAGCAATCATCTAGTTTCATCATGTTGAGTGAATTCCAAAAGGAGAGAAGTGATATCCTGTAACCAGGAAGCAGAATTTTGGAGGTGTGAGGTGATTTCTGAGAGACAACTCTAAAGGTTAACTGTTTGGGTTCAAATACCAATGCTACTACCTCTTACTAGCTTAGCCTGTCTGTGCTTCATTGTTTTATATATATAGTTAGGGATAATATTTCTTTTCTCAAAAGATATTATGAGGATTAAATGACTTAATTCATGTAAAGCTCTCATAATGCCTGGTGCATAGCGCTCAAAAAGTAGCTGTTCTTGTGATGGTGGTGATGAGGTGGTGGTATAATAGAATTGTAAAGAAAGAAACGTAAAAAAGTAATTGCAGAGAAAGATTTGGCAATCATGATGGGAGTGTTGGAACTGAGGAGAGGATTTAAAGGCCTACATACTGTAGAACTAGGAAATGTCTATCAATATTTTAGATTGATGCCTTTAATTATTCAACTTCATTCCATAAATGTATTGTTGCATGAGTAAGTGAAATTATAAGTTTTTACATATGATACTGCCAACGATCTTGCTTTCAGTATGAGAACTTAAAAGTAGTTTTTATATGTTCATATGATTCTTTGAAATAACGTATGTTGAGTACCTGTTTTACGTTGTTCTTTGAAGGCTAGAATATATACTTTCCTTAAGCTTTTATTTTAATCACCTTGTGCTCAATATGACAACTGAACTCCTTCATCCCCACCACCTATTTCGCTCATCTTCCTACCTACCTCCCCTCAGGTAACCATCAGTTTGTTCTCTATAATTGAGCCTGTTTCTTGGTTGCTCTCGCTCTTGCTCTCTCTCTCTCTCCCTCTCTTTTTCCTTTTGCTTATTTGTTTTGTTTCTTAAATTCCACAGGAGTGAAATCTTACAGCATTTATCTTTCTCTGACTGACTTCACATAGGATTATACTCACTAGCTCTATCTCATGCCATTGCAAATGGCAAGATTTCATTCTTTTTATGGGTGAATAATACTCCATTATACACACACACACACACACACACACACACACCACTTCTTTATCCATTCATCAACTGATGGACACTTAGGCTGCTTCCATGTCTTGGCTATTGTGAATAATGCTGCTGTAAACATATAGAGGTGCTTGTATCTTTGAATTAGTGTTTTTGTACTTTGGGTAAATACAGTTTAATTGCTGTATCATAGGGTAGTTCTATTTTAACTTTTTGAGGAACCTCCATACTGTTTTCCACAGTGGCTGCACCAATTTTCATTCCCACCAACAGTGCAAGAGGATTCCTTTTTTTCCATATCCTCATCAACTTGTTTCTTGTGTTTTGGATTTTAGCTATTTTGACAAGTGTGAGGTACTATCCCATTGTAATTTTGATTTGCATTTCTCTAAGTGATGTTGAGAATCTTATCATGTTTCTGTTGGCCATCTGTATGTTTTCTTTGGAGAAATGTCTGTTCATTTTTTCAATTGGATTATTTGCTTTTGGGGTGCAGAGTTTTATAAATTATGTATTTTTGGATACTAACTCTTCATTGGATATGCCATATGCAGATAGCTTCTCCCATTCTGTAGATTGCCTTTTAGTTGTGTTGATGGTTTCCTTTGCTGTATAGAAGCTTTTCATTTTGATAGAGCCCCAATAGTTTAGTTTTGCTTTTGTTTCCCTTACCTTTGGGGACCTACCTAGAAAAAAGTTATGGCCAATGTCATGTGCTCTTTTCTAGGATTTATAAGGTTTCAGGATTCACATTTAGGTCTTTAATACATTTTGAATTTATCTTTGTGTATGGTGTAAGAAAGTGGTCCAGTTTTCCCAACACCATTTGTTGAAGAGACTGTCTTTTTTCCCTTAGATATTCTTTCCTGCTTTGTCAAAGATTAATTAAGTATATAATTGTGGATTTCTTTCTGGGTTTTTTTGTTCTGTTTTTTTTTTTTTTTTTTTTATCTATGATTCTGTTTTTATGTCAGTACCGTACCATTTTGATTACCACACCTTTGTAATATTACTTGAAATCTAGAATTGTGATGTGTCCAGCTTTACTTTTCTTTTTCAAGGTTACTTTGGCTATTCAGGCTCTTTTGTGTTTTGTGTGTGTGTGTGTGTGTGTGTGTGTGTGTGTTTATTCATGATAGAGGCAGAGACACAGAGGGACAAGCAGGCTCCATGCCAGGAGCCCGACGCGGGACTCGATCCCGGGACTCCAGTATCGCGCCCTGAGCCAAAGGCAGGCACCAAACTGCTGAGCCACCCAGGATCCCCATCTTTTGTGGTTCTATGTAAATTTTAAGATTGATTGCTTTAGCTCTGTGAAAAATGCTGGTGGTATTTTAACCGGGATTGCACTAAATGTGTAGATTGCTTTGTATAGTATAGGAACTATCAATATTTTAACAATGTTTTTTGTTCTTCCAATCCATGAGTATGGAATATCCTTCCATTTCTTTATATCATCCTTAATTTCTTTCATCATTGTTTGATTTTTAGAATATAGGTCATTCACTTCATTGGTTAGGTTTATTCCTAGGTATCTTACTAATTTTGGTGCAATTGTAAATGGGGTTGTTTTCTTAATTTCTCTTTCTGCTGCTTCATTATTGGTATGTAGAAATGCAACATATTTCTGTAGACTGATTTTGTACCCTGTGACTTTACTGAATTCATTGATCATTCTAGCAGTTTCTTGATGGAGTCTTTGGATTTTCCTTATATAGTATCATGTCATATGCGAAAAGTGAACAGTTAGTTGACTTCTTCCTTGCTGATTTAATGGCTTTTATATCTTTTTGTTGTGGCTAGGTTTTCTTAATCCAATGTCGAATAAAGGTGGTGAGAGTGAACATCCTTGTTTTGTTACTGAGCTTAGGGGAAAGGCTCTCTGTTCCCATTGAGGATGATGTTTGCTGTGAGTTTTTCATATATGGCCTTTATATGTTGAAGTATGTTCCTTCCAAACCTACTTTGTTGAGGATTTTTATCCTGAATCGTTGTTGTACTTTGTCAAATGCTTTTTCAGTGTTCTTTGAAATGATCATATCCTTTCTCTTATCCTTTCTCTGGTTGATGCAGTGTATCGTGTTTACTGATTTTGTGAATATTGAATCATTCTTGCAACCTAGGAATAAATCCCACTTGGTCATGGTGAATGATTTTTTTTTTTAAATGTGTTGTTGGATTTGGTTTGGTAGTATTTTGTTGAGGATGTCCAACAGGTTTTGTACCATTGTATTTTCGTTTCCAGTTGTTTCCATGCATTTTTAAATTTCTTCTTTGATTTCGTAGTTGATCTATTCATTGTTTAGTATCATGTTATTTAACCTAGTCTTTCCAGGTTTTTCCTTCCTGGTTGACTTCTAGTTTCAAAATGGTGTGGTCAGAAACCATGCATGGTGTATTTTTTAATTTGTTGAGGCTTGTTTTGTGATCTCATAAGTGACCAGTTCTGGAGAATGGTCCATGTGTGCTAGAATAGAATGTGTATTCTGCTATTTTAGGATGGAATTTCCTGAATATATCTGTTAAATCAATCTGGTACATTGTGTCACTCAAAGCCATTTCTTGTTGATTTTCTACTTAGGTGATCTTTCCATTGATGTAAGTGGGGAGTTAAAGTCCCCTACTATTATTGTATTATTATCAATTACTTCCTTTATGTTTGTTTTTAATTGTTTTATGTATTTGGGTACTCCCATGTTGAGTGTGTAAATATTTACAGTTGGTATATCTTCTTGTTGGATTATTCCTTCTTTGTCTCTTGTTACACTCTTTGTATATAGTGTCCTTCTTTGTCTCTTGTTACAGTCTTTGTTTTGAAGTCTATTTTGTCCAACATGAGGATTGCTACTCCAACTTTCTTTTGGCATCCGTCTATATGATAAGTTTCTCCATCCCCTCAGTTTCAATTGGCAGGTATCTTAATGTCTAAAGTGATTCTCTTGTAGGCAGCATATAGATGGGTCTTATTTTTTATCCATTCTGTCACCATATATCTTTTTGATTGGAGTGTTTAGATCTTTTACATTTAAGTAATTATTGATATGTATTTATTGCCGTTTGTACTTGTTTTATGGTTGTTTCTGAACATTTTCTCTGATACTTTCTTTTTCTCTTTTGTGGTTTGCTAGTTTTCTTAAGTGATATATTTGGATTTCTTTCTCTTTATTATTTGCATATTCATTAGTGGTTTTTGACTTGTGGTTATCATTAGGTTTATATATAACATCTGCATATAGCAGTTTATATTAAATTTATGATTTTTATGTTTGAATCCATTCTTTACTCTTCTCCTATGCATGTTTTGCATATATGGTGTCATAATTTGCATCTTTTTATTTTTTTAGTTCCTTGACTGCTTTTTCACAGAAATATTCATTTTTACTGCTTTTGTGTTTTCTACCTTCATACTATCATTTTTGGTCTGTCTTTGCTATT